CCTCGGGTGCGATTCGGGCGGCCGTCTCCAGGGGAGCTCGGGCCGGGTCCGAGGTGGGGCGAGAGTCTCAAGCAGGTTCGGACATCGCCCAGGCCGGCAGCATCCGCACCAGGCTTCCCTCGATTGCCGAGAGCGAGCCATCGACGGGAGATTTGTCCAGAGAGGTGACGCCAGGAAGAGAGGAGGGGAACCCTGGTCCCCCTACTGAAGCTTCTGTTCCTTCGCCCTCCCCTCATCCGCCTGTTGCTCCACCTCTCACTGTCTCCCCTCTCTCACCTACTGCTGAGCCTCCTCAGGCCACGGCGGGCTCAGCGCCCCGGCCCCGAAGGGTTTTGTCTCAGCCGGAGGACACGCCTTGGTGTATCCGCGCACGGGCCGAGGCAGCCCGAGCCTCCAGCTCACCACCGGAGTTCAAGCGGGCGAAGCTGGAATCAGCCGACCCGTCGTCGTCGTCTCCGTCCGCCCCTCAGGTCTCCAGTGGTAGTGGTGAGCCTCCTCTCTCTCCTCCCCCGGGCCTCCCCGCTCCGTCTCCGTCTCCAGGTTTGGGGTCCGGGACCAGAATCACAGCCGGCTCCGAGCCGCGCGTGTCAGTGGCCGACAGGGTCCAAGAAATCGAGGCCGGACGGGTTCGTGCCCGGTCACGCTCTCCCACGAGGGGCGAGAGTCTTTCCGAAGGAGTGTTTTGGGTGGTGCCCAGGGATGACGGCGTTGCCACCGTCCCGGCCGAGCAGCAGGAGCCGACGAGAGCCGAGGCACAAGACGGCGGCACTTTCGCCGCCAGCCGGGGCGGTGAGGTATCGCTGAAGAGTTTATCCCCTGCCGATCGGGCCAAGTTCGATGCGTCTGACGCCAAGGAGTGGGAGGCCATGAAGGCGACAGGTGCCGTAGAAGTGGTGGCTCCAAGCAAGGCACGAGTCATCCGCCGCGAGCAGCCAGACCGTATCATCTCGAGCCGGATGGTCCGCCGCTGGAAGCCCCAAGAGGGCACCTTCGCCGCCCCCGACGCCAAGTCGAGGTGGTGCGTCCATGGGCATAAGGACCCAGACTCAGGAGCCCTCGAGGTTTATGCTCCCACTCCTCAGACATCGTCGATTATGATGTTTATCCGGATAGCCATGAACCTGGGTCTTCTATGTGATATCGCCGATGTCAAGAATGCTTTCTGTCAGTCAGACAGAATGCATCGAGCACAGGGCGAGATCTACGTAGAGCCCTGTGAAGGGATCGTGCTGGAACCCGGGTCCCTGATCCGACTTTTGGTCAATGTCTACGGTTTGGACGATGCCCCTATGGCCTGGAGGCGTACCGTCGTCAAGTATTTGGAGGCCCATGGGTTTGTGAGGTCCCTGCTGGAGCCCTGCTGGTGGATGCGCTACGATGGCAAGGGGCGCATCGCCAACATGATGCTGCTGGAAGTAGATGACTTCTTCATCGGGAGTGCAGACCAGGCCTCCCGGGACTGGCTCAGGAGGGTTCTGGAGTCCAGGTTCAAGTTTGGGAAATATCGGGATTGCCAGGCCGGCGCGGTGGATTTTGCTGGCCGAAGGATCACCGTTGCCCCAGACAAGGCAGTGATCGACATGGAAAAGTACATTTTAGAAGAGATCCGCCCTCTGTCCATTTCAAGGGGCGTCTGGCTCGCAAGGATTCCCCCCTGGAGCCTCATGAGTTCAAGGCACTGCGGTCGCTCGTGTACAAGTTTAATTGGTTGGGCCGCGAGGTCCGACCTGAAGCCGCAGGTGTAGCCAGCATCCTGGCCAGCAAGCTGAACCAGGCCAGGACCGGGGATGTGATCACGGCCAACAAGTTGGCTCGCCATCTACGCTCTACGGCTTCCAGGGGACTCACTGTGTGGCGACTCGATCCAGACAGGATGGCCTTTTTGTCTTTCTCGGACGCCGGTGGCATTGGTTCCACCGACGGCCTGGATGACGAGCGCGGGCTGCCGGTCGATCCCACACAGGGGGCCTGGATGGTCCTGGCGGCCGATCGATCTGTGCTGGACAACCGGGCAGTCCGGGCTTCGATTCTGGGCTGGAGGTCGTCCAAGCTAAGACGAAAAGTGCCATCCACTCTGGCTGGTGAGACGCAGGCCCTATCCGCAGCAGTTGCAGAAGTAGAGTTTTTACAGATCATGTATCGAGACGTAGTCTTCCACGACGTGGACACTCCCGATTGTCGCCGAGCCTCTGGACCGTTTACGACTGTGCTGCGACGGGACTGCTCTCTCGGATCTCGTGAGAAGCAGGTGCATGTGGTCGACGCCAAGTCGATCTATGATACAATGCAGAAGGAAGGCAATGCGTGCGCGCGGGACAGGCGCACGGCTATTGACCTCGCCATTATCTGTGAGTCTCTGGAGCGTGCGCGTGGCCATGTCCGTTGGATCCCGCACGGGCGGATGCCAGTGGACGCTCTGACTAAGGAGGACGTCACAAAGTGAAACGCCGCTTTGTTCGATTTAATGTCCCATGATCGCCTGATTTTGGTCGACGAGAGTTCAGAGGTGGCGAGACGCCGCTCCGAGCCGCAGCTCAAGAGTCGTTCGCAGGCAGCTTCGAGAGAGGAACTTGCCCGAGAGTCACAGCCTACATGGATCCAGTTCCTGTCGGGAAGCTCAGCTGGTGGTGGTGGTGGTGGTGGTGGTGTCGGTTCTCCTCCCCCCTCCTCCCTTTTCTCAGCTGAATCATCTACGTGCATTTTGCCCTTGCCATCTCCGCTCTTTCAGTGATAATTTTCTCGCGTGCAGTTGCCGCTATTTGCTATCCCCTCTCCGTTCAAGTAGAGAAGGGGGCCGTTCCAGCACAGGAACGGATAGTTGCATTTAGTTGAGCCCAAGAGGGTGCTAAACCTAGGAGAAGTCAGACGGGTGTGACTGATCTCCAGATTTTGCGTATTAGGTTTAGCATTTGAGATCATTACCTTGATCGTCCTACCGAGTTGCAGTGTGTGCTTGGTGTACTGTTACCCTCTCTGGCTCAAGCCCAAAAACGTTCATCCAATCCTGTGCTGCCACACGTGGCAGACTGCGCCCGGCCCTGTCTTGGAGGGGCCCGAAGGCCTCAAGAGGGCCGCAAGAGCGCCCCAAGGGGGCCCCAAGAGGGCCCCAAACCGTACATACTTGATATGCTTCTTGGGCTTGCGAGCTGTGTGGGCACCCAAGTACAGCAAAACCTTGCAAAAAACATTGAAAAACAATGTTTTTTCCTGCTCGGGGCCCTTTGTGCAGCTTCCCGGGGGGTCTCACAGAGCACCTTGGAGACCTGTCGGGCCGGCTTGGGCCTCGTGGATCGTGTGGACGCCGACAAGGCGAGCACGGCAAAAGCCGGGGAAAAAACAATGCTTCCTGCTCGGGGCCCTCTGGGGAAGCTTCCCGGGGGGTCTCACGGAGCACCTTGGAGACCTGTCGGGCCGGCTTGGGCCTCTTGGGGCTCTCTTGGCGTATCTGCGAGCCTCTCTGGGCGGCCCGGGGCGGCCCGGGGCCAGCCTCTGGGGGCCTGTTGAGCCGACTCGGAGGCCCTCTGGGCCCGTCTTGGGCCTGTCTTGGGGGCCTCTTCCGTCGTCTTGGAGGCGTCTGGGGAACGTCCGAGGCTGTCGCGGATTGTATGCAAGCCGACAAGGCGAGCACAGCAAAAGCTCTGCAAAAAGCAAGGTAAATCAATATTTTTTCCTGCTCGGGGCCCTCTGGGGAAGCTTCCCGGGGGGTCTCACGGAGCACCTTGGAGACCTGTCGGGCCGGCTTGGGCCTCTTGGGGCTCTCTAGCTTCGAATCTCTCTGGGCGGCCCGGGGCGGCCCGGGGCCAGCCCGGGGCGATTTTGCCCCCATTGATCCTGCGGCCTTCTGTCACGCTGGGCTCCCGGCATTAGAATATAAATGGTGTCGGGCTCCAATTTCGTCTCGACCATCTGGCTGAGCAGCGACAGGGCCGGCTGCCACTGCTGACCTTTCTCGCACGCGCTGATCCCAGCACTGTAACTGACTGGGGCTGACCCGTGGACTCCGTCCGCGACCTCTGGCCGAGTGTGCTCTCGGGGGAGCGGCGGGACTGCCGAAGGGCGAGTTATCCACATGGCGGTCAGCCCCTGCAGCAGCAGCGCCCCGAGCTGCACCAACACGCTCTGTGGCGCCTGCCGGCGCCGCCCGACGGGGACGCTGACGGCGGCGGCGGCGAGAGAGACGGAACGCCTTGCGGGGAGGTCCCTCGGGCGGACGGCGCCCGTGCAGGATGATCCCGCGGTTTGTGATGCTCCAGCCTGCTTCAGCCTTGCCCACCAGGAAGAATCTCGAGCACCACGAAAGTACCGAAACTTGAAGGTTTTCACGTGTCGGGCCCTGGGAGGCGATACTCGTTCGACACCGTTTGGACACTTCTCGGGGCGCTCGAAATTATCTCTGGGGTGTGGTCTTTACGTGCGATGGGAGCAACAAATCCCGCGGCTCGCCTTTGTGATCCTGGATCCGGTTCTGGCGGCCCCAGGGCTCGAAAGCGGTCCCTGGGCACCGGTTCCAGAAAAGCCATGGCGACGAACCTGGGATGAAGGCGACCACGTACATATTGTGCCGTCCTGGGCCCGTCTTGGGGCTCTGATCGGGGCATCCTGGGGCGATCTTGGGTGGCTCTGTGGCAGTCGTGGACGCGTCGGAGACGAAAAACACGAGACTGCCAAAAATGTTTCCCGGGGGAATGGGACGACTTTTGCGTCTCGGGGCTTTCCTGGAGAATCCTCGAGGGCCGTCTTCGGAGGCTCCTGGCCTACCCTGGGGGCCCTTGGGGCCGTTGGAGCGGCCCCTTGAACGGCTCGGAGCGCCCCTGGGGTCGTCCGGGTGGCTGGCCTCTGGAGCGGCTGGGAACCGTCTTGGGGTCGTCGGGGCGCGGTCTTGAGCGCTTCAGAGCGGTCTTTGGGCCGTCGGGGCGGCCTTTGGAGCGTCTCAGAGACGTCCTGGGGCCGTCGGGGCGCCCTCTTCAGCGGCTCGGAGCCGCCGTACGCCAGCGTTGTAGCTGATGGTATCGGGCTCCAATTTTGTCTCGACCATCTGGCTGAGCAGCGACAGGGCAGGCTGCCACTGCTGACCTTTCTCACACGCGCTGATCCCAGCACTGTAGCTGACTAGGGCTGACCCGTGGACTCCGTCCACGACATCTTTCTGGAATGGTTCTCGGAGGAACGGCGCAGATTGTACCGAAAATCTACAAACACGGCGGCGGCTCGGGCGGCGGCAGCGAGACCGCGCCTTCGTGTCCGAGCTCTTGCAGCGCTGCAGCAGCTTGGCCCAGCGCACTGCTCGTTCACCCCCCTCCTATTGAGGACAGTTTCGAAGTCTCTCGGGGATGTGCGTCGAAGTCGAAGCCCATCTGAGGCGTCTCAGGAGCGCTCGGGGAAGGGCTCGGGAGGCCATCGGGGAAAGCCACCGAAAGCGCCGGGGAGGCTCGCAAGGATCTACAGGGAGGGCCCAAGAGAGCTTCAAGAAAATTTGAAATCCAGTGAACTCTTAAGAGAAACCGCTGTTGGGTCGGCCATCACCTCCGGGCGCGCCTTGATGGTGCGATCCAGTCGCATCACCGCCAACGGGAGGGTTTGTTCGCCATGTCCCATTCTGTTCGCCCAGAGGGTCTGTGGAGGCCTTCGGGCGAACAGAACGGGACAGGGCAAGGAATGGGGAAGACATGTCCGAATCTCCTGGGCCCCCCAGATGCTCGTCCGAAGAATGCGGAGAGGTCCCAGGGTCATATCAATTGGCTGCTGTCCCAGGGGTCCGGTCTGCTTGGCCCGAAGAGTTTGCCAAGGCCCCTGGGGGAACAGAATGGCACAGCATATCGGGCAAAGGGGGGCGGTAGCTGGCCTGTCAGACCCGGCGTTCGTCTTCTGCCCAAGCGGCGCGGGGCCCACGGGCCCCAGGGTTGGCGTCCCGCTGGGATTCCTCTTGTTCGCCCACAGGGTTGGAGGAGGCCTCCAGGCGAACAGAATGGGGCAGGACAATGAATGTGGGAGACTTGTCGCAAGCTCCCAGCCCCCCCAAGTGTGCGCCCGAAGGGTGTGGGGCCGCGTTGGCTCCCTCAAAGGGCCGTCTTGGAGCCGTCTAGGCCCGTCTTGAGGGCGCCGTTTGCCCTGATGGGGCCGTCTTGGTTCGTCGTGGGCCCCTCATGGGCGCGTCCGTAGGCCGTCCTGGGCCCATCGGGGTCCTCGTGGGGCTGTCTTGGAGCCGTCTGGGACCGTGAGGAGGCCGCCTTGGAGTCGTCTTGGGCCCCTCCTGTGCGCCTCCTTGGGCCGTCCTGGGCCCAGCAGGGGCCGTGTTGGCACCCTCTTGGGGCTGTCTTGGAGCCGTCTTGAGCCGTCGCAGCGCGCCTTGGGTTGTGCTGGGTCCGTCTTGGCCCGTCTTGGGGCCTTCCTGGGCGGTTCCTCGGACCCTCCTGGGACTTTCTGGGGCCTCTTGGTGCATCGGACCGCCGAAACGGCGGGAAACGCAAAGGGTGTAACAGTAAACAATGGAAAATTAACGATTTTGGCCAGCTGGAACTCTCTTGCCATCTTGGCCCGTCTGGAGGCCCCGAACGGGCGCGTCCTTGGGCCGTCCTGGGCGCACCCTCCTGGGACCGTCTTGGAATCGTCTTGGGCCGTCTTGAGCGCGCCTTGGGCCGTCCTGGGCCGGTCTGGGGCCGTGTTGGCACCCTCGCGGCGAGGAAGCTCGGAGGCGGGCTCGAGGCCTCTTCGGGGCCATTTTGGAAGCTGTTGGGGCCTCTGTAGGGGCCTCGTTTGGGCTCCTTGGGAGCCTCCTGGGGCCTCTTCGGGGGATTCTTGGCGGCCCCTTGGGGCCTCTTGGGGGCCTGTTTGGGCCTCCTGGCGCCCTCTTGGGGCGGAAGGCTCGGATTTTCGGTCCGTGGTCCCCCTCTTGGCCCCCTCTTGGGCCTGTCTTCGGGCCCTCGTGGGCCGTCTTGAGCGTCTCTTGGGTCGTCTTGGGGCCCTCTTGGGCTGTCTTGGGGCGCTCTTGGAAACCTCTTGGGCCGTTCTGGGGCGCTCTTGGAGGCCTCTTGGGCCGTCTTCGAGCGTCGGAAAGCGGAAAAGGCGAGAAGGCCAAAATCCTTCCAAAACCGTCGTAAAGCGGACGATTTTGAGGCCCAAAACCGTCCAAAACCTCCTGAGGCGGTCCCCTCGTCCGCCCCCCTCGCTTCGAAGCAGTTTTTAAGCCCCGTGGCACCTCTTGGGGATCTCTTTTGGGCTCCTGGGGGCCTCTTGGGCCTCCACTGGATTCGCTGCCCTCGGTCGGCAATCGTCGATCCTACGACGACTCTCCCCAACGGAGAAACATCGAAGGCCCTCGGAGCGTCCAACATTGTTCTTTTGTGCCTTCGATATGCCGGTCGCCTCTCGTCCGCTCCCCCCCTCCTGGAAGCAATTCTGAGGCCACTTAGGGCTTCGTGGGGGCCGTTTGGGGATCTCTTGGGCGTTTTTGCCTGCGATATGCCTGTCGCCTCTCGTCCGCTCCCCCGCTCCTGGAGGGAATTCTGAAGGCACTGAAGGCTTCGTGGGGGCCGTGTCGGAGCCTCTTCGGCCTTCGTTTGGGCCTCCCGGGGGGGCTCTTAGGGCCCTCTCGGGCCGTCTTGGGTGCCTCTTGGGCCGTCTTGGGGCTGTCTGAGACCCGCCTCGGCGCCTCTTGGGCTGTCGTGGGCCGTCTTGGGCCGCTCCTGGGGTCGTCTTGGGTGCCTCTTGGGCCGTCTTGGGCGCCTCCTGGGCCGTCCGGGGGCCGTCCTGGGGCGTCTTGGGACCGTCTGGGGGCCCTCCTGGCCCGTCTTGGGGCTCTCTTGGGGTCCAATTCGGCCGTCTTGGAGCGGTCGGGGGGGCTTCTTGGGCCGTCTTGGAGCGTCGTGAAGCCGACGAGGCGACGAGGCCGAAAACATAGAAAAACACATTAGAAATCGACGATTTCTGTCGCTCGGGGCCCTCTTGGGAGGCCTCTTGAGAGGCCTCTTCGGGCGTCTTGGACGCCTCTTGGGCCGCCTGGGGCGAATCTCGGGCGTCTTGGGCCCATCTTTAAGCGTGCCGGGGCTCTCCGGGGCCGTCTTGGGGGCTTCTGGGGGCCCTCTCGACATGTCCTGGGGCCTGCCTGGGCGGCCCGGGGCGGCCCGGGGCCAGCCCGGGGCGGTTTTGAGACATTTGAGCCTGCGCCCTTCCCGCACGCACGTGCCCCTGCAATGTAGTAGAGACTAGTGCGAACCCGTGGGTTAAATCCACGGCTTGCCGAGCCTGGGACTCGCAAACCGTAGGTTGAGTCCACAGAACAGGGCGTCGAAGCCGAACAGCTCGTGGAGGCGCAGCTCCAACATCGCGAGATCGTTCACGTCGGCCGATTCTGGACCAGTGTCGGCGTTGAGCCCTTGATGCCGGCGCTGAGATCACCGCCGCGTCGACGCGACGCGAATCTGCGCACTCCTCCTCACTGCTCGGTGAAGACGACCAAGAACCTCGATCTCTGGTGGCGCGAGACGGGGCAGGCAGCGGAGAGGAGGAACAGCACGAGGAAGAGGGAGAAGGGAGTGCTCACTCCGGGAGGCGCGGAGAGGCGCTCCCTCTGCCCTGGGCGCGGTCCAACCGATCCCCTTTTTTTAGACGGGTGCTCCCGCGACGACCTCCACGCTCTGAAGACCCGCCTCCGGCTGCGTGCGTGCGTCTTGCAGTGAGGTGAAGAGGCCGCCTCGGGAGAGCGCTGGACCGCTGGGTGTGGGCGGGGCCCGTTCCCGAGCCACGTCCCGTCGGGCGGGCCGTGAGCGGGTCGTCCATCGTGACCGGGCACCAGCACTTCGCCATGACGCTCGTGCTGGGGCGCGCGCTCCACACGCGGCCCTCAATCACCTCCCCGACATTCGGGTCCTCCTGGGGGCCTGTCTGGGGCCTCAGGGGTCACTCTTGGGATGTCTTGGGTGTCTCTGGGGTTGTGTCGGGCGCCCTCGGGTGCTTCTGCGAGGCTGTCCGGGGCCTCTGGAAAGCGTCTTGCGGTATTTTGGGCGCCTCTGGGGCCTTTCCTGGGCCGTCCCCCAGAGCCCCGTCCTGGGGTGCCCTTGGGGCTCTCAAGGGCTGTATGAGGACTCTCTGAGGGCCGTCTTGCATGGCACATGGGGCTCGTTGGGGCCGTCTTCGGGCGCTCTTGGGCAATCTTTGGGCCTTTTCGGGCCGTCTAGGGTCTCTCTTGGGAGCCTGATGCGGGGCAGTGAAGTGATGGGGCGATCGAGGATGCGGTGGGAGCCGTCTGGAGCTGTTCTTGGAGCGAGATGGTGGGAACCTGAAAATCCTGGAAAAACGATGGGAACCTTATCCTGGCGAAGGGCCCAACAATATGTAATTGTGAATATATCGCTTTGTGGGTGCCACTTTCGGAAGGGGCTCCCTAATTGGCCCAAGACCCTCGTCAGGGGTGTGCCGAAATGGACGGGGGGACGCATGCGGACCATGCCACTGGGGCCTTCGGTGGAGCTCCCTATGGGGCCACGATCCTCGTAAAGGGTGTGCCGAAAGCCACGAAGCGTGTGGGGTGTGTGCCGAATGGGATATGTGGAGGGCAGAGGCAGGAGTGGGAGGAGTGATGAGGGAGAGGAGGAGTGAGTGAGGAGTGAGTGGACGCGGGGCGCTGTCTCTTCATAACGAGGACACAGCACCACAAGATGTCTGGAAAATATGCGGCTTTGGCCTCGTGGGGCCGTCATCGGGGTCCTCTTGGGCCGTCTTGGGAGGCCTCCTGGCTTGCCTTGAGGCCGTCTTGGGCCATTCTGAAGCTCGCTTCGGGCTCTCTAGGACCATCTGGGCGCTCTCTTGAGTATCTCTGAGCCGTCGTTGGACGTCCTGGAGCCTTCAAGCGACCGTCCAAGGCCATCCGGGACCAGCCCCGGAGCGCTGGGGCGCCCCGGGAGCGCCGGGAGCCGCCCTGGCCCGCTGCCACTGCAGCGCAATCTCGCGCGTACTGACCCCAGCATTGTAGAGTTGAAGACGTCGGGCTCCAGCTTCGCCTCCCAAATCTCGCTCAACAACGCGAGCGCCCACTGCCACTGCTCACCCTTCTCGCATGCGCTGATCCCAGCATTGTAGCTTAGCTGACCAAGGCTGACCCGCGGCCTACTGGCCGCGGAATCTGCCCGCCATCGTGACGTCCCCGTCCGTGCGCTCGTCTCCGCACCGCGGCCGCTCAGGCGCCTGGTGCACGGGAGGATCACACACACTGGAGTAACTGTCCAGCGGGTTTACTTGGGCTGCGCGTTAGGAGCCTTCTCGGGGTGTCTGGACACTCTTGGGGCCTTCTTTGGGACATGCTCGGGACATCTCTGTGGCTCCTTTCGGCTTTTGGGCCATTTTGGGCGCCCTCCTTGTCCTCCCCTGAATCCTTCATCCCGTCGGTCTTCGTTAGGAACCGTCTGGGTATGTCTGGATGCTCTAAGGGCCTCCTTCGGGTCATGCTCGGAACATTTCGGTGGGTCCTGTCGGCTTGTGGGGTAGTTGTGGGCGTCCTCCTCCTCGTCCCTCGATCTTTCATCCCGTCGATCTTCGATCGTCAGTCGTCGACGCTCCCTGAGAGGGAAGCATCGAAGGCCTCTTGGGGGCCGTCTGGGGGCCTCTTTTCGTCCCTCTGGGGCTCTCGGGGCTCTCTGGAGCCGTCTGGACGTCTTGGGGCGATGTGGGGCCGTCTGGGACGCCTCTCGTGCCATCTTGGACTCGCACGCAAAGACCGCTGCATTGTCTCTTCAGAACGAGGACCCAACACCACAAGGTGGTTGAAGAAAGCACCTCGTCGGCATCACTTTCTGGCACGTAGAGGTTTTTGCAATGTAGGGTAGATGACGTCGGGCTCCAGCAACACCTCCCACATCTCGCTCAACAGCACGAGAGCCGGCTGCCACTGCTCGCCCTTCTCGCAGGCGCTGATCCCAGCATTGTAGCTGACCGGCGTGGGCCCGTCGAAAATCCACGGTTGGCAGGTCAAGGTCTCCGTTCCGAACGCGCGCATGTCGCCGACGTCCGCTAAGCCGCCGGGGGCCTGTCTTGGGCCACATCAGGGCCCTCTTGGACCGTCTTGGTGCGCTCTTGGACCGCGTGGGGCCGTTCATGCTCAAGCGCATTCGAAACACACGGTCTTTGCTTGATTTCTGCCTTCGTGGCGTTGTCATCGGGATTATCGTGGGCCCTCTTGGGCCGTGCAGGGGGCCTCTTGGGCAATCTTAGGGCCAGGGTGGGGTCTGGGGCCGTCTTTGAGTCTGGTGTGGGCCCTCTTGGGCAGCTCCTGGGAAACTCTCTTAGGCTCTCTGGGGCCTGTTCGGGTCCGTCTTGGGGCCCTCGTTGGGCGTCTTGGTGGGCGTGATGGCCTCTTGGGCCATCCTGGTGCGATCTTGAATGACCTGGAGCCCTGTGGCCGTTCTGGGCCCGTCATGGGGAGAACGTGAAAAACCTTTGAACATACATCGTTCTTGCTTGTTTTCTCGCTGAGTGGGGCCGTCATAGAGGTCCTCGTAGGCCCTCTTGGGCCGTACTGGGGGTCTCTTGGGCCATGGTGGATGTCTGGGGCCGTCTGGGAGCCTGGTGTGGGCCCTTTTGGGCAGCTCCTGGGGTGTCCTGAGGGGCCGAGGCTCTGTTCGGCTCTCTGAAGCCTGTTCTGAGCCGTCTTGGGCCCTCGTGGGCCGTCTTGGTGGGCTCGTGAAGGCCTCTTGAGCCATCCTGGTGCGATCTTGGAAAGAGCTGGAGCCGTGTGGGGCCGTTCTGGGCCCGTCATGGGGAGAATGTGAGAAACCCCAAAAACACTGTAAGGTGTTTGCTTGTTTTTTGGAGTCGTGGGCCGTCATCGGGGTCCTCGTGGGCTGTCTGTGGAGCCTCCTGGCGAGTCCTCGGGCCCTCGTGGGCCGTCCTGGCGCCCTCCGGAGCGTCGCAGGGGTATTTTGAGGGCTGTCTCGGGGCCATCTGACGACCCTCTGAGCCCGTCGGGGAGGATCCCGGGGGCACTCCAAGGGCGCTTGGGGGCGTTCCAGAACGGTTTCTCCGCACCGCCTGACTCGCACGCGCCGCGACCGGAATTGACAGATGGCGTTGGGTTCCAACTTCAGCTGCCGCATCTCGCTCAACAACGCGAGCGCCGGCTGCCACTGCTTGCCCTTCTCGCACGCACTGATCCCAGCGCTGTAGGTAAGACTAGAGCTGACCCGTGGACTTACGTCCACGACAGCTTGCTCGCGTGCAGAAGCTGAGATCGCTTGTCTGCTTGCCTGCTGTTTTGCGCGCATAGCTGGTAGCCAGACGGTTGTCTTCCCGACGTCACTGCCAGCATGATGGCAGGCCTGGCGGTCGCAACTGACCCTCTGCCGCACGCCACGGCAGCGGGGATGGCCGCCAGTCGGCCGCGGGTAATGCAGCGGCTGCTTTTTAGCTACTAATTGCTGCCGCTGATGGCTTGTGTGCTGCCGGATATGGAGGCCGTGCTGGGGGGCCCTATGGCCGAAGCCATTGGGGCCTCGTTGGGCCCTCTTGGGGCCGTCCTTGGCCGTCTCGGGGTTCTCTGGGGATCTGTTGGGCCGTCGTGGCGCTCTCTGGAGGGCGTGTCGGGCCGTCTGGAAGCTCTCCGAAATCTTCTGTAATATTCTGATAGCCCTCTGGGGCCGCCCTTGGGCTCTCTTGAGGCAGTCAAAGACCGCCCAGAGTGCCCTAAGACTGCCCGAAGACGGACCGAGGACCGAGACGGCCCAAGGAGGCCCCGAAAACAACCCAGGAGGCTCGATAGGGGGACCCCAGAGGGCCCAAGGCGGCCCGCAAGGAGCCCAAGAGTCTCCCCCGAAGCCGTCTTGGAGCTGTCTCGTGTCGAAAAGCCTGCGAAGCAAAAGACATACATCTTCCTTTGGGTGTTGGAAAGCTTTGCAGTTGCCGTGGTCTTCTGGACATTTCCTGAATGGCCTCTTGGGGCGTCTAAGGGCCTTTTGGATGCCTCTTGGAACCGCTTGAGATCTCTCGGGGGCCCTGTCTGGCGGCTGTCGGGGCAAATTCTGGCCATCTCGGACATTACCGAAAGCTGTCTCTGCGACGTCTTGGGGACCCAGAGCCCACAGGGACCAGGAGGCAGTGCCGATGCTGCTGGAGGCCGAGAAAGCGATTGGCCCACGCACTTGTCCCAGAATTGAGGGGATGATGATAGCTTCGGGCTCAAGTTTCAAAGTTTTTGACGTTGCGGCTCGCTCTCGGGAGCCTCGGGTTGACGAGTTTACTGTGTCACCGTTCGCACTTGGGAGCCTTGGATTGAAAAGCTTTTCGCTGTACCGATCGCTCTTTTATTTGGCATCTGTGCGCCTTCTGGGGGACTTTTGGGGGCCCTTCAGGGGCCCTTTTGGGCCGTTCTGTGGCCGTTTGCGGACGTCTTGGGGCCCGTTTGGGCCGTCACGGGGCGTCTTGGAGGCTTTGGACGGTCTTGGGGCTCTCTTGAGGGCTTCCTGGGGTCCTCTTGGGAGCATCGTCGGGCCCTGTTGGAGCCGTCTTGGGGTCCTCTCAGGCCGTTGGAGGGCCCCCTTGGGCCGTCTTTGGGCCCTCTTGCACCGGCTTGGGGCTCTCTTGTGGGCCGCTTGGGTAGTCTTGGGGGGTTTTGGGGGCCTCTTGGTCTGTCCTGGACCGTGGAAAAAACGCAAAAGGCGGATATGCTGAAAATGTACGTTTTCCCATCGGACTGTGACAATTTTTCCCAACCCTACTATGGTTGGGTACTCGTTTCGAATAGAGCAGTGTGGTCGCCCCGTCCTTCTCCTCCCCCCTCCTCCCCTCCTCTTCTCCTGTTTCCTGTGTTCCCCTCTCCTCTTCTCTCGTGCCGTCGGGCTGTGATCTGCGCAACTGTCGCCACTTTCGTGGGCTCCTGGGAGGCCCAGCGGAAGTACGTCCCACGCGGACCACCTCGAGACCTCGCGGCGCCCTGGGGGGGCTGCGATCTGCGCAACTGTCGCCACTTTCGTGGGCTCCTGGCAGGCCCAGCAGAGGTACGTCCAACGCGGATCACCTCGAGACCTCGCGGTTGCCTGGGGGCTGCCATCTGTGCAACTGTCGCCACTTTCGTGGGCTCAGAGGTACGTCCAACGCGGATCACCTCGAGACCTCGCGGCGCCCTGGGGGGGCTGCGATCTGCGAAACCGTCGCCACTTTCGTGGGCTCCTGGGAGGCCCAGCGGAGGTACGTCCAACGCGGATCACCTCGAGACCTCGCGGTGCCCTGGGGGGGGCTGCGATCTGCGAAACGGCCACTTTCTGGGCTCCTGGGAGGCCCAGCGGAGGTACGTCCAACGCGGATCACCTCGAGACCTCGCGGTGCCCTGGGGGCTGCGATCTGCGAAACTGTCGCCACTTTCGTGGGCTCCTGGGAGGCCCAGCGGAGGTACGTCCAACGCGGATCACCTCGAGACCTCGCGGTGCCCTGGGGGCTGCGATCTGCGAAACTGTCGCCACTTTCGTGGGCTCCTGGGAGGCCCAGCGGAGGTACGTCCAACGCGGACCACCTCGAGACCTCGCGGTGCCCTGGGGGCTGCGATCTGCGCAACTGTCGCCACTTTCGTGGGCTCCTGGGAAGCCCAGCTGAAGTACGTCCCACGCGGACCACCTCGAGACCTCGCGGCGCCCTGGGGGGGCTGCGATCTGCGCAACTGTCGCCACTTTCGTGGGCTCCTGGCAGGCCCAGCAGAAGTACGTCCCACGCGAACCACCTCGATACCCCGCGGCGCCCTGGGGGGCTGCGATCTGCGCAACTGTTGCCACTTTCGTGGGCTCCTGGGAGGCCCAGCAGAGGTACGTCCCACGCGGACCACCTCGAGACATCGTGGTGCCTAGGGGGCTGCGATCTGCGCAACTGTCGCCACTTTCGTGGGCTCCTGGGAGGCCCAACAGAGGTACGTCTTACGCGTTGCCGCTGCTCTTCTTGCTGCGCTCTTCTGAGTTCAGTGATGGGTGCTCTTCTTCCGCACTGCGGGTTTTTCAGCATGCCCGTTAGCATTGAGTGGTCCCGGATTTAACCACTTCATGAATAGACAGGGTTGGGTACGTCGCAAGGTAATGATTGCTTCTTCGGCGTCCTCTCGGGGCCCTCTCGGGCGTCTTTGGGGCCTCTTGGACCGTCTTGGAGTTACCTTCTGAAGTCTTTGGGCCGCCTTGGAGGCCTTGGACCGTCTTGGGGCTCTCTGGATGGCTTCCTGGGGCCCTCTTGGGAGCCTCGTCGGGCCCTCTTGGAGCCCTCTTGGGGCCGTCTTGGGGCCCTCTCAGGCCGTTTGAAGGCCCCCTTGGGCCGTCTTTGGGCCCTCTTGCACCGTCTTGGGGCTCTCCTGTGGGCCGCTTGGGTCGTCTTGGGGGTTTTTGGTTGGCCTCTTGGTCTGTCCTGGACCGTGTAACAACGCAAAAGGCGGATATGCTGAAAATGTACGTTTTCCCATAAGAATGTGGTTTGTTTTGCCTTTTTGGCGTCCTCTCGGGGCCCTCTCGGAGCGTCTTCGGGGCCTCTTGGACCGTCTTGGAGCCACCTTCTGAAGTCTTTGGGGCGTCTTGGAGGCCTTGGACCGTCTTGGGGCTCTCTGGAGGGCTTCCTGGGGCCCTCTTGGGAGCCTCTTCGGGCCCTCTCGGAGCCCTCTTGGAGCTGTCTTGGGGCCCTCTCACGCCGTTTGAGGGCCCCCTTCGGCCGTTTTGAGCCCTCTTGGACCGTCTTGGGGCCTTCTTGGGGGCCGCTTGGGTCGTCTTGGGGGTTTTGGGATGCCTCGTGGTCTGTCCTGGACGGTGATGCTGAACATGTACGTTTCCCCACAGGAATGCGACGACTTTTGCCTCTTTGGTGTCCTCTCGGGGCCCTCTCGGAACGTCTTTGGGACCTCTTGGAAGGTCTTGCAGCCACTTTCGGAAGTCTTTGGAGCGTCAAGGCCCGTCTCGTCACCAATTGAGACCGTCTTGGGGCGCTCTTGGACAGTCTTGCAACCCCTCTGGGGCGCCTCTTGCGCCGTCGCGGGCGATTCGACCCCGTGGTGGGGCGGTGAAGGGGTGATTTTATGCACTTGAGTGCCCACCCTTCTAGCACGCGCTTCTGCCCGCCATGTAGGAGAGATGACGTTGGGCTCAAACTTCGACCCCCACATCTCGCTGAGCAGCGACAGGGCTCGCTGCCACTGCTGTCCTTTTGCGCACGCGCTGATAGTGGCAACGTAACAGCCATGGCTGTGTTTCACGCATGCGTTGGATGCCTCGCAGAACAGTTGCAGCGCTTCTCTCCATTTTTTTGTCCTACCAGACTTCTTGAAGGCTGCTTCCAAGCGAAAACCTTCTGGTCTAGATCCTCGCTCAGCGCCTAACATCTAATGCGAGCCCTGAACCGACATGTCACACATTACCGATTGAGCAAGAGGCTCGGGTCAAGATGGCTTGAACCAAAATGGCTACGGACTGTATCGGGGCGATCTCGGGGGCCTCTCGGGCCGTCATGGGCAATCATGTAAATTCTCCGAAAGGAAAGGGGCGATTTTTGTCTCTCGGGGCTGTCCTGGGGAATCCTCGAGGGCCGTCTTCGGCTCCTGGCCTGCCCTCGGGTCCCTTGGTGCCGTCAGAACGGCCAAATGTGCGGCTCGGAACGCCCTGGGGGCCGTCGGGGTGGCCGCTGGAGCGTCTCGGAGCCATCGTGGGGGCCGTCGGGGCGCTCTCTTCAGCGGCTCGGAGCCGCCGGGAGGCTGTTGGAGGATTGCGAAAAGGTTGCGGTCTTCTCGCAGAAAAAACCAAAAACCAATCCTCGGTGGGCCCCCGGCTTTTAAGGATCGGGGAAGGGGGTTCTGGGAATCAGTTGCGCGCGGCTGGGTTTTCCAGCGCCTCGGGGAGCCAGATGCGAACGTGTACCGAAGAATATGCCTCGCGGCGGGGCCCGGCATGCAGCAAGTTTCGTATTATTGACTTCTTTCCACAGAGAGCCTAGGCTAAGGATAGAGGGGGTTTTCTAGCCACGGTCGATCTCGTACATGATAAGGGAGGGTTGCGCTCGTCCTGGAGAAAAACCCATCTTCAGCTTGCCCTCGACCTTCTCAGGATCGGAAAGGGGGTTCTGGGAAGCAGTCGTACGCGGCTGAGTTTTCCAGCACCTCCGGGAGCCAGATGCGAACGCGAACCGAGGACCGTGCCCGGCGGCGGGGCAGCAACCGGGTGCATGCAGCAGGTTTCGTACCAGTGACTTGGTGCCACAGAGGACTGGGGCCAGGGAAAGAGGGGGGCTCTTCTGGCCACGGCCGACCTCGAACATGAGAAGGGTCCCCAACGCTGGCCCAAGGAACGCCCCGCAGACGGGAGCCCCTTCGGAGTCAAATGGATCCCTTTTTTCTCCACGCGTTGACTGTGACTCGGAGCAGCCAGGTTTGAGACACGGACAATGCAAAATGGGGTCAAAATGGGTCCCCGGACCCTTCCCACGGTCGACACGCACCAGTGTTCCCCGCTGCGTCCAGCCGTGGCGGCAAGGAGCCCTCCGAAGGCGAACTGTCGGTGTCTCAATTCGGCCTGCGCTGATTTCGTCCGCCCCGAACCTGGGCGCAGTCCAGCAGCCTCACTGTGTCCATCACCTGGGCGGCCTGTCGGAAACACGCCAGCGGAATCCAGGGCCACCCAACTATCTCGCGGCGCCGCGCCGTGCGAGCCCGATTAGCTTCGCGCTCTCGCGCCCGCACCTACGGAGGAGGGCAACGCTGCCTATGCGTCCACTGATGGCAAGCGCTTCCTTCTCCTTGGGAACTGTTTGGGGGCTCTCGGGGATTCTCTTCGGCCTCCTGGGGGCCTTTTGGGGCCCCCTTGGGCCGTCTTGCGGCCTCCTAGGGGCATCTTGGGGCCCTCTTGGGCCGTTCTGGGGCCGTCTTGGACGCCTCTGGGGCCGGCTTGGGGCCGTCTTGGGCCGTCTTTGGCCGCTCTTGGGGCTGCCATGGGTGACTCTTGGGTCGTCGTGGGCGCGTCAGGAGCGGTCCAGGGGCCGTCTTGGGCCGTCTTGGGCCGTCCCAGGGCCGTCTTGGGGCCCTCATGGGGCGCACCTGAGGCGTCCTGGGGTGACCTTGGGGGCGTAAATTGCCCCCTTGGACGGTTTGAAAGCGAAAAGCATGGAATTGCGAAGATGTACGGTTTCCCTCGGGAGTGGGACGATTTTTTCTTGTGCGGGCTCTCTCGGGGCTCTTCTCGGAGTCCACTTGGAGCGTTTGTCGGGCTGGGTGAAAGGGGGGGATTAGCAAAGGGGGGTTTGAGAATCAGCTCACGTAGCTGATTTTCCCGGCGCCTCCCGGCGCCGGAGGCGGCCATGTGTCGAGGAATGGGCCCCTCGGCGGGGCCGAAACCAGCTGCATGCAACAGATTTCGTAACCCCCGCTTTCCCTATCCCCCCCTTTCGTTCGGCCCGAGTTTAGGGAGCCTCTTGGGCTGGGGGCTATCTTGGGCGTCTGCGAGCGCTCTTGGACCGTCTCGGAGGCCTTCTTGGACCGTGTTGGGCCGCTTCTCGGGGGTCCCCGCGGTCGTCTCGGAGCGTTTTTGGGCCTCCTGGAAGCGCGCCGGGGCCTCCTGGGGCCCGCAGGAGCCCGCAGGGGCCTCCGGGGCGCCACCTCGCCCCGACCCCCGCCCCTCTCGCACGCGCGTATGCCTGCAATGTAGTAGAGACTAGTGTGTACCCGTGCTTGCCGCCGCTGGCGGCGGGGGTTGCCGAACCCACTCTCCTGGGGCTCTCTCTCTGGAGCCCACTTGGAGCATTTTGGGGGCCTCTTGGGCCGCCGGGCGGCTGTCGTGGGGCCCGTCTCGGAGGCCCTCTTGGACCGTCTCCGGCCATCTTGGAAACGCGCCGGGGACTCCCAGGACTCCGCTGGGCGCGGGCCCACCATTCTGCCACGAGAAGCCTTCGTGTGGCAGAATGCATCCGTGCCTTTCTTGGAGGGGCCCGACGGCCTCAAGAGGGCCGCAAGAGCGCCCCCAGGGGGCGCACAGAGGGCCCCAAACCGCATGTACTTGTTATGCTTCTTGGGCTTGCCAGGGGGGCACTCAAGTACATGCGTACTAGGGCCTTGTCGGGGCCCTCTTGGGGCCCTCCTGGCCCCCTCTTGGAGCCCCTCGGGGGCGCTCCCACCCTGTCCTGGCCCCCTCTTGGGGCCGCCATGGGCGCCTGAGGAACCGTCCTGGCGCAGTCTTGAGCCGTCTTGGGGCCCTCCTGGCAGCCTCCCGAGGCGTCTTGGGACGATCTTGAGGGCCTGTGTGGCCGTCTTGGACGCTTCGAAGACGAGAGGCACGGGAACTCCCGAAATGTACGTTCTCCCTGAGGATCGGGACGATTTTTTTCCTTGTTCGGGCTCTCCTAAGGCTCTCTCTGGAGCCCACTTGGAGCATTTTGGGGGGCCTCTTGGGCCGTCGGGCGGCTGTCTTGGGCGTCTTCGAGCGCTCTCAAGCCATCTTGGAAGCGCGGCGGGGCCCCGGGGCCGCGTCGGTGGCCACTGCCACTACTCGACACTTTGGCGAGCGGTGAACGCTGCATTGTAGGAAACGCTAGGGCTAACCCGTGGACTACGTCCACTTGCGGGGTGAAGGGGTGCTGCCGCAAGGGCCCCGGAGAGGGCTCCAAGAGAAAGGGCAAGGGGTTTTGAGCCAAATCCGGCAGGGAGCGCCAAACCAGCGTCTGGAAGGCCGAAGAGTCGTGTGCCGAGCCCGGACTCGGAGTGAGGTGCTGGGGCGAGATGGCTCATGGCATTGTTCACTCTTGGGAGCATCATCCTCCTCCTCCTCCTCCTCCTCCTCCTCCTCATCATCATCATCATTATCATCATCACTATCCGCAGCAAAATCCTCCTCCTCCGCATCATCTTCAGCGTCATGAACATCATCATCAGCATTAGCATCATGAACACCATCATCATCGTTGTCGTCATCATCACCACACCTACTATTATTGTCATCATCATCATCATTATCACCATCACCATCACCATCACCGTAATCATCACCATCACCATCACCATCACCATCACCATCACCATCACCATCATCACCATCACCATCACCATCACCATCATTATCATCATCATCATCATCATCATCATCATCATCATCATCATCACCATCATTACCATCATTACCATCATTACCATCATTACCATCATTACCATCATTACCATCATTACCATCATTACCATCATTACCATCATTACCATCATTACCATCATTACCATCATTACCATCATTATCATCATTATCATCATTATCATAGTTGTCATCACATCATTTGGAGCATCGGCCCAATACGGCCCCAAGGTTGCTCCGAGATCGTCCAAAACGTCTTGAAGATGGCCCCACAATGGCCCAAGAGGCCCTCAAGAGGGCTGCAAGAGCGACACACGTCAGGGCCCCAAGAGGCCCGGGAGAAGGCTCGTGACGGACCAGCAGTAAGAGGGATTTTGAGCCAAATCCGGAAGGGAGCGCCAAGCAAGCGTCATGGAGGCCGAGGAGCCCCATGCGGAGCCTGGGCATGGAGTCAGGAACTGGGTCGAAACGGCTCGTGGCACCGTTCACTCTTGGGAGACTTCGTCATCATCCTCCCCCTCATCATCATCGTCATCATCATCATCATAATCATCAGCATCATCATCATCGTCATCATCATCATCATCATCATCATCATCATCATCATCATCATCATCATCTTCATCTTCGTCATCATCATCACCACCACCATTATCATCATCACCACCACCACCACCACCACTATCATCATCGTCGTCGTCATCGTCGTCGTCATCATCATCATCGTCATCACCATCATCACCACCACCATCATCACCATCATCATCATCGTCATCATCATCAACACCATCATCATCATCATCGTCATCATCACCACCACCACCATCATCACCATGATCATCATCATCATCATCATCATCATCATCATCATCATCATCATCATCATCAGCATCATCATCATCATCATCATCAGCACCATCATCATCATCATCATCACCAGCACCAGCACCAGCTTCATCAGCATCAGCATCAGCATCAGCATCAGCATCAGCATCATCAGCATCATCAGCATCATCATCATCATCATCCTCATCCTCATCCTCATCGTCGTCACATCATTGTCGGTCCAAAACGACCCACGACGGCCCAAGATCGCGTCAGACGCCTCCCAAATGGCCCCATACATCATTTGGGATGTCGGCCCCCAACGGCCCCAGACGGCCCAAGATCGCGTCAGACGCCTCCCAAATGGCCCCATGCTGGCCCAAGAGGCCATCGAGAGGGCTGCAAGAGCGAAGCACGGCATGGCTCCAAGAGGCCGCGGAGAAAGCTCCAGACCGACAAAAAGGGCGAGGGATTTTGGGCCAAATCCGGCAGGGAGCGCCGAACAAGCGTCAGGAGGGCCGAGGAGCCCCATGGTGCGCTTGGGGCCGTCTTGGGCGTCTCTGGAGCAATCTGGGGACAGTCTGGGGGTCGTCTTCGGCTGTC